AGAAAAACTAAAAAACCTGAAAGCTTTTGCCGAAGGAGCAGGTGAAGGAGTATTTTTTTTGTTATAAGACTAATAGTATTATTTTAATTGAAAAAGCCTATCTATATATATTATTTTATAAAAATCTTAAAGGGCCAGGGATTTAGCTCAGTGGATCCACTGCCTACCTCATAAACTCAAGGTCCCGAGTTTGATCCCAGGTATAAAAAAAAAAAAAAAAAAAAGAAATCTTAAAGCACAAGCAACAAAATAAAAACAATAAAATCAAGGGAAGCAATCATGTTTGATTTGCTTAACAAAAAGTATTTTGAAAGTAAAAAACAAAAAGTAACAACACACAAACAAATCGTACCTGGAATCAGAAAGTCTGGAATTATTCTTTCACAATTTGGTTTCTACTTTTCTCTAGTCACATTTCTCTTGGCTCTTTTTGTTTTATTAGTTAGTGGAGAATAATTAGTATCATTGTCCCCCCTTTAATGCAGTATTATAATTTTGCATTTTCAATTTCTGATGCCACTGACATTATATCACAGGAAAAAAAAGATGAGATATTGCCAAAGGCTAACCTGTGTAGGGAGCTCTTAATTACCATGCATAAGCTGTTATTTGACAATTTATCTATGATCACTCCTTATTTTTTCATGACAATTACCACTTTTTGGCCATTTCAATAATCTTTCAAAGGATCACTAAAGACTGAGAAAAATTATGAAAAGTAAATTAGTAAAATAACTATAATTTATGGGCAGTTTAAGTTCAATATATAAAGTTTTATTCATAAAATAAATAAATTACAAAGTAATATATTGTACAAAATAATTTAGTATAGGATCTCTTTATAAATAGTGGGCCAGTGTTTAAATTATTGGATTTACCAAAATTCTAACACAAGTTTTTAGAAATAAATTTATTGAAGGAAGAAAAGGTCTAAAAGAGTAGGGGAAGTGGGAAAGGTAGGGGAAAGGAAAGAAGGGACAAGAAAAAATATGAGAAAAGGAAAAAATGGAAACAAAGTCTTTGTAAATGGGGAAGGGTGAAGGGGATGAAGGGAGGGCAGGGGAATTGGGAAAAAATGGGAACCAAGATATATCATGTAAAAGTACAGGATTCCAGTGATGAATGTAACTGTATTGTATACCTAAGATGTACCAATAAACTTAATGAAAAAAATATTTGTTGAGCAAAGAATATACCCATTTAATAGAATATGTTGAGCTCTGTATAAATGAGATTTTTGTTATCACCTACAGATTTTAGTTATTATACCAAGTCTCTCCCTTTATCATAAACAAATGGAAGTTATCTGACAATGCCAAGTTTCAGCTAGTCATCTCTACTACTCTGACTAGAAATATGTTAGACTTTTTTTTTTTTTTTGGTTTACTATTTTTTTTTCCCCACTAAGTTTATTGGTACATTTTTGGTATACAATACAGTTACAGTCATCACTGGGATCTTGTACCATTACATTAGTATCTTGGTTCTTATTTTTTTTCCCCTTCCCTTGCCCTCCCTTCACCCCCTCCACCTTTCCTTATTTGCAAAGACCTTGTTTCCATTTTTTTCCTCTTCTCATTTTTTCCTTTCTCTTTTTTCCCTTTCCCTACCCCTCTCAATTCCCCTGCTCTTTTAGACCTTTTCTTCCTGTTACACAATATCAGTTATACATTTTTAAA